TTTTTTAAATAAAATCAAGTGAATGTCCGATACATTCACACTATGGTTACCTTTATTACAGCAAATTAAAATCTTGTATATACATTTCGAAATAATTTAATGATAGATCTTGCATGATCAAGAATAATGAAAAACAGTGGCAAACAACCTAATAGTAGAAATAAATTTTTTAAATATTTAGAATCATAAATTTATTACACTCTCCAAAAAATTACCTACAAATAAGTATAGTATAACTTTTGATGCAACTTATTGCAAAAAGATTTTTTTTTCCATTAAAGCTAGATCTTTAGATGGAACATTTATGATTGGAAAATATTAAATTTAATAATTAACTCATTAGAATATTTGCATAAGTGAAACATGAAATTAACTGCTCATAAAGTCCCAAAAAATTAGAGTAAGATCATTAGGATTATTTTTAATTTTTTTACTATGAAAATGATCTAACAACTTTTTTTCAACTTTTTCTAACATGTTGTTAGGATGTTTTCATACTCTACAAAGTATGTTTTTTTCTATCTCTCAAAAGATGATTCCTCTTGGAGTCGGGGATAAAATATTTATGAATTTCAATAAATCACGTGAACAATGTTCTTCATCCCTGGTAGTACATTTTACAAGCGAATTCTTTACTTGCAAGTAATGTAATGATGTATTATTAAGTTGTTGAATACGAGTCAGTAATAACGCAATAAATAGTAATAGACAGACAACTTTCATATATTAATAAATATTCAACGATACTGTCCTTAATTAATGCTATTTCTAATTACTGATTAATTAATTGAAATATCATATGGCGAGAGGATATATATAAAATTCTTCTGTACGGGTGTATGATTTTAAACTTCTCCTAAACGGTTATTCTGATCTTGATAATTCTTTTTAGAATCTATCAAAGAAAATTTTTAAGATTTAATGAACGACAAAACTATAGTAATATTGTATACATAAATGACAAAAGTTACAAAAAAAACACTTATCATTGCTTGACATTAAAAACGTTTGAATTGTCATTGCTAGAAATGTCAATTCACTCGAAATTTGAATTTAGCTGAAGTTAAGAGCCTGGATAATATTAGCATATAATGTACAAGAATGCCTACATTATTATTATCGAAAAGCAGCTGAGATGTGCTAGAAATTAAAATAATAGAAGATACAGTTAACAGTATAGATGCTTGGCAGATGAAATTATATAATTCAGTTTAATAAATAAGTCCAAAATTGCATATACATTATTTTTAACTTATGCATGTCGCATTTGGCTTTACTTTTCTAAATTACATAACAATACGAAAAAATATTTCTACTTATTGAAAAAATGATTTAGAATTTTGTTTCATGTGCCAAAAATTCATTTGTTTGGCATTGTATATGCAATATTTAGCAAGTTGATCAAAAAGAATTAGAATAGTGCATAGATCTTAGATTGAATAGTGCACATATGAACTAGATTTTACAAATTAATTCTCCTAAGATTTGGACAAAAACTATAATGTTTATTAAATTATTAACAAAAAAAAAGTACCTTACTGACTCAATACAATAATGGGAACTTGTTCAAACAAGCACACTTCATCTTTGTCCTTTTGGACCCTATCTCAAAACCATTACAGTTTAGTTGTTATGACGATTTTCATTACAGTAACCTGGCACAACCGTACCCAGTCTCCCATTGTTTTATGTACGTTAATGTTTACATTTTATATTATTATATATACGATAAAAAATCTTACTTTATGATATATTCATGACTTGCAAAAATATTTTCATACAAGAAAAAATGCTGAATCGATACAAGTTTCACAATTGTAGCAAAATGTGTTATTTAGTTATTTGATTGACAGATTGCGATAAAGTTATAAAACAGGTTATACAGACTAAAAATTGAAAACTAAACTAAAACTCTTTATTAAAATTCATTTAAAAAAAAGGAGATGTCTCGTTGGAGATAAACTCTTTAAAGGCCTAAAGTCCAGGACATTGTCTTAAAAAATAATGTATATTTTGATTGACAATAAATATATACTTGAAAAAATCAATTACGATGTATAAATAATTAAAACTCGTACAAAAATAGTAGAACAGAATTTACTATGTATAATTATAATTTTGAACCAAAGAGAAACAGAAAGAAAGTTCTGAACTTTTACATTAAACTTTTAATTCAAGCTTCAGGAAACATTAATTAATTTATCCAATTTAAATTATTCTCATGTATGTACCTACATAAAATAAATCTGCATTTGAAAAAAAAAATAATATTACATTATAGTCTCTCAGAATGTATATTAAGAACTCGTTAACTAACGTTAAATAATTTTTAATTGCAAATTTTTAGCGATATTTTTATCAGAAATCATTGACGTTTATATTGTTTAGCATACTTTATTTATTATGGATATTTATTCTTTATTGTGATGTTTTTTTTTAAATTATTTTCATTTATTGTTGACTTATATTATTGATATCAATTTTTATTTATCAGTTATTGAATTATTGTTTATTTTCATGGTTTTCATGGTCAAAAACATCAAATATTTTTATTTTTAAATGTTTGATTTGTAAATTGGGAATAAAATATGGAAAACCATAGGTTATTATAATTTTATTCTATGAATATGAATTAACAGTAAGATATAAATTTTCAGATTTTATTCCTCAAATTTTTATAATAATTTTTATCTCGATCTTTTTTAGGGTTGAAACGTATTTTAAATCCAACCAATTCCTCGAATTAACAATTACTTATTTATACGTTTTGATGCTATCATTATTATGAAAAAAAATCCAAATTCTTCAAAAATCCTGCATTTTTTTATTAATAAATATTAAATGAATATATTCTTAATTAACTATATAGTTTTGAAGATACTGTCTTATGTAAAAATTTTAAAATCCAGGAAGGAACTAAAAAAAAAGTTAAAGAATTTTTAGGAAAATTATGTCTTGGTGTTCGACAGAATTCCAAATAACATTTATAACAATTCCAGAAATAAATAAATAAATTCAAATAATTCGTATGCAAATACATGTAAATAATGTTGTAAGTTTTAAGTTTTAAATATGTATAAGCGTTTTGGAAAATCCAAAATATATATATAAATTTTAAATATATATTTTATTTCAAAATATTTGATACATATATATATATATATATATATATATATATAAATATATAAATATGTATTTGATACTTTTGCTGAATAGCTTAATTAAAATAAAAATTTAAAAATAATGATTAACATTGCGTAATTTTAAAATGACAATAACTAGTGATATTATTTCACAAAATTGCATCATTTGTTTATTTTTTTACAAATGTGTTATATTGGCATATTATTTCCAAAAATCCAGTTATAAACAATTAAAGATGTTACTCGATGAACAAAGAGAAAAAAATGTTAACAATAAGTATTATCAAAAGTAAAAATAAAATTTTATTAAAAATCAAATATTTTATTTACTATTACCATTTACGAATTTCTTATATTATTCAAAATAAACGGATTATAAAAAAATGACTGCAAACAAATTTAATAACGTATTTTTTTATAATTTAAAACGTCTAATATATTCTAAGCCACTTTTATTATATTTTCATATTATTTGCAAAAATCTAATTATTAAAACCTGGTTTTCTATTTGATTATTAATAATAAAATTAATAAATTAACAAAATGGTTTTACTCGCTTGATACAAAAAAGAAAATTTAATAACGCTAAAATAAAATGTTTTTAAAACATTTAAGAAATTTTTAATATTGTAAGACAAATAACAATATAAAATTAACAAATTATAAAACGACTTCAGTTATACTATTACAGTTATTGAAACGTGTCAAAATTTTTAAAACAAATATTTTTAAAACCTAAAAAAGCAAATTGTCTCACAAAAAAAAAAATAATCAGTCTATACTAATAAACCACTTTTGTAAAATAGTTAGAAACTACTTTTTTTCTAATAATTACAAAAATTTCGTATAAGTTAAATGGATTTTATTGAAGACTGTGAAATATTTAATTATAAAGAATTAATCTAAAAAAAATGTATTTAATGAGAGTAGCTAAAAACTATCGAAAAAGTTAACATTTGTAAAAAAGTACTTAATTAAGTTTGAGGAAAACCAAAATCTACTTTGGGAGTTAAGAAGATTAATATTTTGTAAACTATTAATAAAGTAAACCAAAATGTACTAAGTTTAAAACAAATAATGTATAAGCAATTTTTGGACTTATTGCGTTATTTATTAAACTGAATTATATAAATTCATCTGCCAAACCATATACTGTTGACTGTATTATATATTATTTTAATTTCTGGCACATCTCAGCTATTTTTCGGAAATAATGTAGGCATCACATTTTTCTTGTATATTATACTCTAATATTATCTAGGCTCATAAATTCAGCTAAATTCAGTGAATTGACATTTTAGCAGATGACAGTTCAATGTAAAACAATGATAAACGGTTTTTTGTAATTTTTGTCATTTATTTCTACAATATTACTGTTATCGTTCACTAAATCCTAAAAATTTCATTTGACAAACTCTAAAAAGATTTATCAAAATCCGAAAAACCGTTTAAGAGAAGTATCAAATTATACACAGAAGAATTTTATATATAAAATTGGTAGTCGAGATTTGTTTAAAAAAAATTTTGATCTTTCATGAACACACAAATCACGAATTTAAAAACTAAAATTAATATGAAAAAGTTAGTATCATATAAGTAAATGCCAAGATATTTAGACTAATATTTTGTTCTGATATATAGGAGTAATAAAAATTATATAGTTATTACATTCTTTAATTTTGTGCAAATTTTTAAACACTACATATAAGTTTGTAATTCTAGTTAAAATTCAACTACACATTATAAATATTTTTAAAACATATAGCCAAATATTTATAATGTGTAGTTGAATTTTAACTGGAATAGTTAGTAGAATAATAGGTGCAAATTGTAATTGCAAAAAAATAATGTACTCACGTGTAGGTTACTTGTATACTCAAGCCGGCTTATGCACATAAAATACTCAATAAAATGCACACAAAATCACATAAAACTACTTCAATGATTATCTCTTCTAATTAACCACTTTTGTAAAAATATTTGCAACAAAACCTTTTGTTCTAATACTTAATTATTTTTTACTTAAAAAATATGTTTACTTCAAAATTATTTCAGAACATCCGACCTGTTCGGCGTTTGGCTAACAACTGAATACTGAATCACTAATTCCTTCGAACGGGCAATACAACTCTGCCGATACGAGTTTCATGGTGTTGTGTAATTATTTATTATCTTTACAATCGTAGATGATACACTTCTGATTATTATAACAACCGAAGCCGGCCGGTATATTCGAAACAGGGATGGGAAACATTTTTTTTCGAAAAATGTACTTTGGGGGTAAAGGTAAAATGTTGCGCGCTGAACCGAAAGTTGACGGAATTGTGAAGGGATAGTATAATATATATAATGATATAAGTGATTGCAAATTTTTGTTAAAACTAGTGGTGCATGGTATCGTGCCTTAAGGTAAATTGCTGAAACTTCCCGTACCGAAAACTAAATTATTAAAAAAAACTTTGCAAACCTTTGAAAAAATTAGATTTTTGAGAAATTTTGAAATATTTGAAAAAATTGACTTTTATGAAAAATTAGTTTTTTTTGTATTTTGATTTTTTTTGAAAATTTTGAATATTTTTCTTAAGCAATCGCGCTGCATAGCCGTTTGGAGTCGTAAGCGCTGTCTAGACGTCTAACGTATAAACTGTAAACATTGGTACGGAACCCATATAAATGTACACAACGTTTGTACTTATCATTACAATCTTTATAAAATATCTGATAATACGATGTACATAAGTCTAATGTTTATTTTTGACCGCCATATTGCATTATATATATTTTTTATTTGACCTCCAAATACGCTGGGCCTGCCTTTACAAAAATTTTACCAGTTGTTCATTTCGTCAACACAAGTAAAACGTTTTTTGAATTATTTCTTTTAATTATACCATTTTTGGCGCTTTTTGCCCCGTATCTTTGAAACGGCTAGACCTGCCTTTGCCAAAAACTAATCAGCACGTCTCCTTATCAGTAGGAATCAAATGTATTTGCAATTGATCATTCGGTTGGTATTAACAGTGTAGACAATTCCTTTTTGATCTAGTTGAACTTCAACAGATGGCCAGATCGTTATTCATCTTTTAGTGAAAAATTATTAGAACGAAATTTGGCAAACCCATAATGACACTGCCTTTTTTAAGGCTTTATCACCATAAATAGCTCATACCATTTCCTGAGCTAAAGATGCCTCTTTGCAGAAAGAATAAGCAAAATATGACTATATATACAGTAAAAAATAAGCAAAATATGACAGAAATTTTAGGATGTATTTTGCATCTTTCAATGAATGCCAAACAAAAACTACGCAATGGATCAGAAAACTTTTTTTCTACTAATCTAAATCTCAACTGCCCACTATCCATTGAGAAAAGGTACATATTTACCATTAACAGAAGGCATTTGGACTTTGTCAACAAACCTCAAAAAGTCAATTGGAACCATCTAAGGATGAAAGACGCACTTAGTTGCCAACTTATTATATTGTATTTTGGATTTGCCTTAAAGGGTTTTATTAACATAGTTAATAACTTTTAAAATTGGCTTTAAGTTGCATTTTACTTTAAGACAAAATGCCACTTACAACTATTTATTTTCATAATATTCCATTATTCAAGGATATGACATTTCAGAATATATTTACTTTAAATTTCAAAAATTTCAATTTCAATAATTTGAAAAAATTCCAAATGTTCACTGTTTGATAGGCATGACAAATACTATCGTCAATACAAAAAATTTTGCCACTTTTCCATTAAGAGTATATTTGTCAATAGCAATTAACTGGTTATTGTATTATAATATTCATATATAATAATACTTTTAACAATCATGTATTAAACTAGTTGGAAGTAGCATTTAGCCTTGAGGCAAGTTGCATGAACTTCCCGAAATGTGTTATAATTGACTTAATCAACCGAAATTAAAATTTAGTTATTCAGATAAAATTTTCAACTGTTTATTTCAAAAATAAAGTTTTTGCTCTCAATTGAATTTAAACATTGCGATTTCCAATAGAATTTTGTCAAACACTTTTAAATTTTCTGTAATTTTAATAATTACTAGCTGTACCCGTTCAGAAATGCATCTTTGGTACACCTAGTCTACCAGTTTTCTTGTCTTCCAGTCTACATATCTATATGCCTCTCTGTCTACACCTCTCTACCTGTCAACTTGTTTATAAGTCAACCAATTTACCAGTCCACCAATATACCTGTTCACCAGTATACCTGTCCACCAGTATATCAGTCAACAAGTATACCTGTTCACCAGAAAATCTGACCACCAATGTATGTAACCTGTATACTGGTCTAGTGGTCTAGTATTTTCAGTGACAATATCGATTCTCTTACCAAATTTTTTCCCATCATCCATTTAAAATGAAACAAATGATTATATAATGATGCCTCCAAAAGCAAAATTTAAATCGCTGATTCAAAAAGTTTTTGAATATTCTAAATTGCATGCAGAGAGTTATGGGATTAAATATTTTTATCTACACTCATCGTTTAGTATTTATAAGAAGCTTATGCATAGGTAAAACATATTTTGTGTACTAGTAATATACATAATATACATAGTATATGCATATACATATGTAATCTATGTAAATTTGAATCATTAACAATTTTTTACGGTATCTATACTATACCATACTAGCATAAAAAATTGTCAATGATTTAAATTTACATAGATTATAAATGAATATCTATATACTCTATATTATCTGTGATTCCCAAAGTGTTTAGTCCATGTGAACTCTTAGGGGTCCTTAACAATTTTCAAGGGGTCCACATCAGCAAAAAGAATTTTAGACATCCACGATAGTTTCATTTATATTTTAAAGTCGATTAATTAATGTCTAAACTTGTATTTAAATCTCTACTTTAACTGTTTAATACTATACGTTAGTACAAATAAAAATTTATTTAAAAAAAAATCGATATCTAAGCCTAAGGGGTCCACGTCACAAACAAGTTTGGGAACCTATGATCTATACCTATCACAGTATCATATATCATTTCAAAAAGCTTTTATGTGAGATTCGATGTAGATGGTTCAATAAAATTTGCATTATTTTAACATTACTTACATCTATTAAAAATTTGCAAATGTAAATTTATGTTAATTGAAATTATTATCTACACGCATAAATATATGTAAAATATACTCGATTGAGTTTTCTAATTTATTAACCTAATTTTTTAGCGCATATATTTAAGCATAATATATGAAACAAATCTAACCTTTAAATAATAAAATTTAAATTCCTATGCTAGCATTTTAAAGTAGACAAACTAGGTTGCAAGAAATCAGGAATTAAGGAAACACATCAGCCTTATAAAGATTTATTATGTTTAGAGAGCCCTGAAGAAGTAAAATAACTTACCCTGGTAGAATATAAAATATAACCTTGGATTTTTTCACTCAAAATAACTGCTTCAATTAATAATAATAATTTTTATAATCATGTACTATATATTAATTGTTTTCAGTAATAACAATATCTAAATTACATTTTTCTCAATAATAATTAGATATACATTATTACTTAATGTATATTTGAATTGAATGAATTGGTCAAATCCTGTTCATATGTGCACTATTCTATCTATGATTAATGAAATTAGTGCAGCAAATGGAGAGGAAAAAGGGGCGTGACCTGTGAATTTTTTACTGTGCTCCAATTTGAAGAATTGGAATTGAAAAAACATATCATCTTTGCAAAAGTTATGGGGAAGTAAAAGAACTTTGATTTATCCTGATAGAGTGAAAAATTATAATTTCCAAATCTTGTGAGGTTCTGCTTCATAAAGATTGGTCGGACTAGTATTAAAATTGCACTTAAGGGAAGAAATGTGTCCACAGAACATAGTTTTAAATTATATAGAGTTGTTGGAATTATAAATATGTGTTTTATTTTCTTATAAATATTGTGTAGAAAGAACTTGAATAACCAGGATGACTTATTCTGAAGCTACTTTATGGACTATGTAAAAATTAAATAAATAAAACCAAAATGAACCCAAGAAAATCAAAAGAAACACAAAAATCTACAATAATTCAATTTTATAACTATCTTCATTGCATAAAATCTACACCTGGATTCGATAACACCAACAATCTTGCTTAATAATTTATAATAAACAAACAGAGCTGTAATTTTTTTTTTTGTAAGTAAGATTTTCCTGCCCGCAGACAAATTGTTGACAACGTGAAGAAATCGCAGACAAGTTATTCTGATAAAACGCAGTTTATTATTTCATCCATATATAATGTTCATACTTGTAAATCGCAATGATAATAATTCCACGAAAATATCATTAACTACAATGAAATCTGTTTGAAGGTGAAAATAAATATACAAAACAACACGTACAACTGAAATTTTAATGTAGTGTATCTAATGCAAATAAGTTGATACAAGAACAATTATATAAATGCGGAAATTTAATTTATAAAATGAAATAATTATTTATTCTCTAGGGTAATTATCGAAACGTGGAAATGACACAAAGATATACTAATTACAAGTTAATTATTTTATTATGTAAAGGTATGAAAATGTAATTAAAATCAAAGTCTTTGCATAAAATGGCTGGAGCAAAAAATATAACTAGGAGTAATTGTCATTTTGCCTTAAGGCAAGTTGCATGACCTTCCAGACACGTGTAAATAATCAACTTAGGAGGCTTAGCTATTTAGATGAAATTTTATTTTATATCGAAAATAAAGTGTTAATTTCACTAAAATAATAATTAATGAATTATCAATACAAATTTATTAAATTTAATTCATTTGAAACAATTCATTTTACTTCGTTACCCTTGACCCGGGTACATTTCGGCGCCCGGGTCAACACGCCTTTATAATGCTGTGCCTTTGAAACACAGGAACTGATTGAGATAATAGAGATCTTATTTCAAATATCATTTAAAATTGAATATAATTTTAACAAAATTTCTAAAACTTGCAAATCACATACGAGTTGTTCAAAACAAATAAATATTATCTGTAGCGATAAATAAATGAAATTAATTAAAAGGACATTACCGAAGACAACAATCAACAACAAGCG